AGGGTTTCTCTCCAGTGTGGACTCGCTGATGAACTTGCAAATGTGATTTCTGACTAAAGCTCTTACCACACACAGTGCATTTGTAGGGTTTCTCTCCCGTGTGGATTCGCTGATGGGCTTGAAGACTTGAGGTCTGACTAAAACTCTTACTACACACAGAACATCTGTAGGGTTTGTCTCCAGTGTGGACTTGTTGATGTTCTTGAAGATGTGAACTATGAGTAAAGCCCGTACCACATACCTCACATTTGTATGGCTTCTCTACAGTGTGGATTCGCTGATGGGCATGAAGCTGTGAACTCAGTCTAAAGCCCTTTCCACACACAGCACATTTGTAGGGTTTCTCTCTAGTGTGGACTCGGTGATGAACTTGAAGATGTGAACTCCGACTGAAGCCTTTCCCACACACAGCACATTTGTAGGGTTTCTCTCCAGAGTGGAACCTCTGATGACCATGAAGATATGAGCTACACATGCAGCCTTTCCCACACACAGCACATTTGTAGGGCTTCTCTCCTGTGTTGATTCTCTGATGAATTTGCAGATGTAAGCTTTGACAGAAGTCTTCACCACACTCACCATTCCTACTGAATTTCTCTTCTGTGAGAACACTTTGATGAGTGCAAAGCAGCGAGCTATAACTGATGCCATCCCCACACTCACTACACATATGAGATTTTGCTCCTAGGTGTAACTGCTGATGAAGTTCAAGACTGGGGCCAAAACTGAAGCCTTGTCCATTCTCATGGGAATTCTGCTCTCCTGCATGAACTCCATTATGCTGAAATGATGTCTTCATGAAACATTTTCCACAATTCTTGTGGCTACATGACTTCTCACCTTTATGTACTTCCTGATCATCATCATGGTCATGAGAGGTCTTTTTAATATCACAACCATCACACTTACACAGTTTACATTTCCCATCAAACTGCTGACACCTACTCTGATAATTCTGTGACTCTCTCCAGAGATCCCAGGCGGTCTTACTTGGAAAATCTTGATTTTTTATACTATTGGCACTTTGAACTTCCCCTTTAACCTTTATTACATAGTTCTCATCTTCAGAAACCTGAGTAGATTCTGTTGCCCACAACTGGCAGAAGGAATCGCCTTGAATTGGCAAATCAGACCTCTTGCCTTGTAGATTTATTATCAAGTCTTGATTTCTGGTTAACTTACTCATAATTTGTTCCCATATTGGCCAGCACACAAGGTCTTCATGAAAAAGGTCTCTTAATCCAACTTGTTGAAGAGTCTCTATCTCATTTTGATTCCGGTATCCTGAAAGGATAAGAATTCAGAGATGAAAATGAGGAAAAATGAATATTTACTCAGAAATAAAAATATTTCACCAGTCAACCACACCGGGAGACCATATTCGATCAGCTTGGACTTTGTCATTGGCTTTTTCATGCCTATGAAAACGAAGAGGTGATGAGTAGGCTCCTATCCACTAAGTGTTAAGGAGACTCACTTGGAACTATAACAAGACTTAACTATGAAGTCAAAATTAGAAATAGATAGCTACAGAGCAGGGAACTTCCTCAGCAAAAGTAAAAAGGATATATAATATTCAACTAGTGAACAACTGGAAAAAAATAGAAAACTCATTTCCATATCTTATGGGAGTAAAATTCCTAAGATAATTGTTGCCACTTAATTTGGCTGAATTTTATGATCAACGTGAATGGCTAATATTCTCTTCCAGGCTTTGTACATATGTATTTGTACATATGAGAAGGTGCTGTGGAAGCCAGCATACAGGATGGTCCCCAATGATTCTGCCTCCTGATGTCCATCTCCTATCAAATCCCTTCTCACAATGTATCAGGATTGATCTGTGAAGCCAATAGAATATGGCAGAAGTGAGAGTACATCACTTCCAAGGTTAGGTCATA